GCCTGCCGCGGCCTGGAGGCGCTGGAGACCTGCTGCCTCCTCCGCCCCGCCGCCGCCCCGCCGCCCGTCAAGTACGGCCCCGGCGCTGCCGCTCCCGCCGCCGCCGCCCCGCTGGCCCACGGGCTCTCGGACGCCGACGTGGGGCCCCACGGGTACGTGAACGCCTTGGCGGTCACCGCGCAGGGCTGAGCCTCCCCCGGGCCGCCGCCCCCCGAGGGGCTCCCCGCAGCGTCGCTGCGGTCCTGCTCAGGTTCCCGCCGCCGCGGCCGAGCGGGAGAAGGGCTCTCGCTCTCCTCCCTGTCCCGCGGACACATCCAGCAGCGGAAGCTCAGCGCAAACCCGACTGCCTGCACGGGCCTACGGCTGGCGCTTGTCCCTGGAAAACACACCTGCCCTTCACGTCGAGTCCTGCCCCTCCGTGCTGTTCGGGGGATCCCGCTCTTCCCCTCCCGCTCCCCGCCAGGACATCTCGCTGCTTTGTGACCATAAAAGTTTAGGTTTTCCTTTCCCTCCTACACAACAAACAGGGACCAAATGGTGGATTTTGTCCCCTCCATTAGTAACTCCTGCTGACCACAAGAAGATGCGAGAGGGCCCTGGCCAGCAGGGACGTGCCTTTGGGGTGCGGGCAGGGCCAAAGGAAGCGCGCTTTGGTTTCACTAGGTCTTGCAAAGCTTCTGCCTCCGTTTCCTAGCAGCATAGAGTTGTTCCAGCTGGAGGACCTCTGGGAGCATGCCAGCTAGCTGGTCATTTCAAGCCTAGGAGCCACTTTCTCCAAGCCAATACCGTCTACCTCTGTGCTTCAACCTTTTGCATCTTATGTTAACTTCACATGCTAAAGAAACAGGCAAATCCAGCATGGACATAATGCAGGGGCTTAGGCTCCATTTCACTACCACCGAGACGTTTACTTCTGGTGAGAACAGGGTTTACAGCAGCCTATTGCTCGCTTCAGCCAGCAGCACCCAGGTGCTGGGGCTCTCATTTCTGTGAATATGCATGTTTATGGGATCAGCATTGGTTTTCTTTTATGCCGAGTGTACTGTCTCCCTTTCCATCAGCCAGGAAGGCTGGAAAGATTTCCTCTGGCCCCCTTCCATGTCTGCATGAGAGCACAGAGACAGGGCTCAGCCTGCAAACTGCCCCATCCCAAACAGCAGAGCAGAGGATGTTGGTGCTGCTTGGGGTGGGCACCGGGCTTGGCGAGCCTTGCATATCAGTGCAGAAAGCAAGGACACCCAAGCTTTGGTGACAGCCCGTGTACCAGCATCCTGTCCTCCATGTGCATGTGGGTAAGGGTAGGTGGGGAGAAAGTTAATTGTTAGTAATCTCTCATAAAAATACAGTTATCTTTGTTTTTTAAGCTCCATGAACGTTCGGTGGGGGTTAAGGCCTGCTCTTCTGTCTGGCTACAGCTGCTCCTGAAACCAGCCCAACGGAAGCAGGAGCACAGAGGCCACATTTGGAGGAAGGACTTTGCCCCTCCCAGGTTTATATTTTGTTATCTGGGCAAGGCTGCATCCATTGGGAAAATGACAATTTCACATCCTGAGCCTTTTTTCGAGCTGTCCTGACAGGAAGGGAAAGTAAAGCACAACCAACTGCTACCCAGAGCTAACAGCAGGACTGCAGGAACAGCCCAGACCTCTCCTCCACACACATCCATTCTTTCCTTCAGGGCTTGGGCTTCAGTGGGACCGAGCCTCTATCCCACTTCCCATTTCACAGGGTCAGATGAACTGCCTGCTCCAGTGGACTGCTCCGACAAAATGTTTACAGTCTGGTGACTTCCAGCTCCCACAGGCAGAAGTGGGGGTGCCATGGGCCTCTTCTCCCCCGGCTCCTGGCAGCTGATGAGTTTGGAGGAGCTAGAAAAGCCCCGTGGAAAGCTGGGGCAATAGTGCTTGTTCTGTTCAGAGCTGCAGCTATAGGACAGGTGACTCACTCCTCTCCCCTTGCCAAATGGAGAGTTGGCAAAGGCCAGGCTTAACATTCCCACCAGTGCTTTATTTTTAACCTGAGCCCTTACGTGGGCAATTATGTGAATTTTGGCCAGTGGCCTTTCTCTTCAGTAACTTCTTTTTGTCTGGACAATCTTGGTGCTGTGAGTGACTGTGATTGTAAAACTTGGTACTGTGAACTTTTCCTATGTGATGTGAGATGTGTCGAGGGGATGCTAAGTTCCTGACCGAAGGAGGTGTACTTACAGGTAGATTTTGCTTGTACAGATACGTTTCCTTGCACCTTCCTTTTTCACTGTTCAGACAGTAAAAGCTCAGCAAGAACTACAGTGTTGTTCAGGAGAGAATGAGATGATACTTGTACCTAGGAGTACTCCACGCTTCAGTCAAACAGCTGAAGAAAACCCCCCAAAACCAAAAAAACAGCCAAACACCTTTGCCACAAACAAGGTGAAGGGGAAAAAAAGCTATTTACCCTCAACTATGTTTTGCTGCTCCTATGGCTGAGGTCATAATAGCACAAAATTGATAATCCCTAATACACTGAAGTGTAAGTATAGTTGAGACACTACAAGGATCACAGCAGAATTATTGGGTCTTACTTCAGTACCCTTTCATAGTGCTTCACAAAGTTGCTGTTTCAACAGTGAGTGCCTTTTTCCAGTTAGGACATTATTGAGAAAATGGCATATTTGAAGTTTATCTAGCCATGGCATATAAAAACAATTGACAGGGACATCACAGTTCAGATTTGTCCGTAGATGCAAAGGTTGCCTGGGACAGATGGCCTTGCAAAATGATGCTTCAGTTGCATAGAGTTCTTTTGTAGAAAAAGCAGATCGTCGTAGTGCCATGGTCTCTAGGTTATTAGCGAATGTGCTGTTTGGAGAGTGTAAAGCTCTTGTAGTAGCTGGCAGTACAGAAGCCTCCTTGCAAGGAAAAGGGCAGCTCTGCTGCCAATTACTTACTACAGAGAAATATTTAAAGCTCTTCAATGTCTTGGTTATAAGCCTGCTCCTCCTTTTGAATACTGTTCCCTTTGGTAATTGAGCTCTCGCTTCTATTTAAACCCTTTGCCTCATAAATAGATCCGTTTGCAGAAGAGAGTAACAGTGGTACCATTAAAGTGCAAACAATACCTCACCTGATGCACCTTGCACACCAACCATTTATCCTGCCAGCACTGAAATTATTGCTCCAGGTCAGTAACACTTTGCCAAATGATGTTGTGCCATAACACCCCTTGGGATCCCATTACAAGCCTTTTAACACAACTCAGCCATTTAGCATGTTATTGCTCTCCGTTTGCTATACTGACAAAAGAGATGACTACTCCCAGGAGGAGAAACTGAAGTGAGAGAAGGCCTGTGGCCAGTGGACACTTGGCATCCCCCTAGCATTAATCAGAACTTGTATTTTTTAAAAAGCAAGATTGTTAAAATAAAACTAGAAACTTGTGAGTGATTCTGCTCTTTATTTCCCTCCTTTGAGTCTTGCTGGGGTATTCAATTTTGCATTCACGGACCAACAGATGCATTCAAGTTACTTGATTTCCTCACTTTGGATCACCAAAATAGCATCTGGATTTTTCCCTTGAACTTCTTGCAAGTGAAAGCGAATTCTAAAAGCTGTACCACCACAGGAGTTATTTGGGAAGGGAATGACTAAGGCAAGAAAATCCAGATGACGCTTCTGAGCTTCCTATTTAAATGATGTATAGGAATTCATACCACTTGAAAAGGCTCATGGGAGAAAAACCATCAGATTTACATGTTAATTGCTGCAAGAGAAAAGAAACTGTAAGAAGTGGGATCATCAAGATGACAGTTATTCTGAGAACGGGGTTCTCGCTGGAGACACATTGAGATCACAGCTGCCCCGGGTTAGCCCCTGGGGTGTTAGCTTCTGTACAGACAGCAAATAAAAGTGGCACCCAGTTTTCAGTTTGAATCTATGCAGGGACCATCCCTTTGTTAAGTCTTTCCAGGCATCTGGCTACAGAGACAGCAAGCTGACTGAACAGTCCTGCCTCACAGGCCAGCCCTGCACAGAAATGACAGACATTTCCCTTCTTTAACACCCATTTTGAAGGAGCATGCACTTCCTCACATGAGGGCCCTCATCTGTGTTCAACTCAATCGGATACAGCCACAACCCTTTGCAGGAATGCTTTGGCACTTGTCAGCCAGTTCAGTTCTGGCTCCCAGTTTTGCTTCATATTTCTGCAAGGAATACTAACAGGAGTTAGGTGGAATTGAGCACATAAAAGTGTTCGAGTAAATATATCCAAAAAGTATTCTTGTTTTTTAATTTAAGCAATAAACCACAAGTTATAAACAAATAAAAATATAAAATAAACATAATACAGATTATCTTCTGAGATACCAGATTTTTAAAAAGCTGAAATAAAAGAGTCTTAAGATTTTTTGACAAGTAAACTGGTAAGGACAGGATGATGACAAGCTTGTCTGAAAGGAGAAAGGCCTCGATCTATTTACGTCTCACAGGCTGCTACCCAGTGGGCTGAACTGCAGACACCGTGATAACAAACAGGGTAAACACCAGCCTCAACTAGTCCGCCACCCAGCCAGCATACAAAGGCCAACATACAGTAACTCACAGGTAACAAGCTTTACTGGTGTATTGAGCCCAATTTTTAAAAACCACTGGAGTTGATACAGTTACCATCACTGCTCCTGGAAGATGAACCCTTCATCTATAAAGTATTTCACAATGGTTAACCTAAACTACCTGCACTTGAATTTATACCCATATAAATACATTTTACACTCATTTTAGCTCAGCCTCCCCTAACTCGGTTATAATCTCCAAACCATCAAAACCATCTGCTGAAGCTACACTTTTTTCTCCTCCAGAATAGTCTTTCATTTCCGTAATTGTGTGTCACTACCCACATCTTCAGTTCGAGCCTTCCTGGTGCTAAGATATCCAAAGGCAAACAGCACTGCATCAGTGCGTTAGAGAACACATCAGATTCTCCTGATTCAGTAACTCTATTCAGCCCAATTCTTCTGTGTATCTTATATAACTGCATAAGAAGCCCAAATCCCAATTTTTGGTCCATTATCCCCTCTTTCTCCCCTTCCTCCTATTGCTGGTTTTCAGGCACATTCCTCCCAGTAGGGAGGTAGGAAGAGTTATGAAGACTCCTAATTTAAAAGTTTATCCTGCTTACTGCTCAGTTACCGCATTGGATTTCTGAATGGCTATGGAAACGCAGTTGCAAATGAACAAGTGGCAAAACTAAAAATCTCCATATATATGTATCAACCAGGTAGAGACAGCCCTAACCTAGTGTCGTGGTTTAAACCCAGCCAGACAGCTTGTTCACTCACTCCCAATGAGTGGTGCTGGGCTGACAGCAATCAAGCCCCCCCCCCCCGGGGCTCTCCCCTTCCCCGCTCCCAGAGGGATGGGGAGGAGATCGAAAGAGTGCAACTCCCACGGGTTGAGACAAGAACAGTCCAGCAACCAATGTACAACACAAATCACCACCTCTACCACCAACGACGACAATGATAAGAGAAAATAACAAGGGAAGAGAATACAATACCACCGGCCAAGAAACGACTCCCACCCGGAAGCCCGTGTCCTTCCGGGTAACTCCCAGTTACCCCCCACACCGGGCATGATGTGCCGTGGTACGGAATACCTCTTTGGCTAGCCTGGGTCAGGCATCCCGTCTCTGCTTCCTCCCGGCTTCTCCTCGTCCCTGGGAGAGCATGAGCCTCACAAAGTCCTTGGTCAGGGTAAACATCACTTAGCAACAACCGAAAACATCGGTATCACCAGCACTGCTCCCAGGCTGGAAGTCAAAACACAGCACTGCACCAGCTACCAAGAAGGAGAAACATGACTGCTACTGCTGAACCCAGGACACCTAGCTAAAGTTTAAGGCATACATCTTTAACACAGTATTTACAACAAACTATTTAAGATGTGTATTAAAATGGCAATGTAAATGTTGCCATGTTATCTAAAGCTATTTTCCAAACTCTGGCCATGACTTTTATCCAGTGCAATAGAACCAGCACAGCTGTAGGGCATTTTGAAGGCACAAGTAGATGAGCCACTGCCATCCACCAGTGAGGATTCAATGTAATACATTTCCCCAAGGAACAGAACTACTGCCTGTTCTTTCACAGAGGTGGCTAATATTTGTTGCTTCTCTCCAGCTACTGGAAGCAGCATTACCAGTCTGCTGGGCAATCCTGTCTCCTAGCAGCAGACACGAAGAGCCTACCAGTAAGTCATTTATGAGAACAAAGATGGTGTTGGAAATGCAGTTTCAACACTATGCATGGTACCACATTCCATTCTGGTACTTCAAATGGAGCAGGTTCCAGACAGAGCCTAACAGTCCTCCAAAGACTGGCTAATGTCAATCACCTCAGCTGGACACTCCCAGTCAGAGCTCCGTTGAATGTCCTGGAAAAACAGCTGCTGCTGGAGGCTCTTCAGACTGTTCAAGACCTCTGCAGAGAGTTCATGGAAGACCGCCTGGTTTTCCTGATCCTCCTCTTCCTCTTCTTCTTCCTCCTCCTCCACAAGGTCATCAGGAGGCAAAGGAGAACATCTAGAGATGTAGCCCTGGTCTGACTGCACTGACTGTCTTTGGTCTTTGCATTGGTCATCAAAGACCAACTGGTGTTGTTTGTCAGCCTCCTCTTGGCAGAGAAATGGCTCTGAAGGAATGACACTCTGCTGATAGAGAGAGTACATAAGTCCATTCAGATGGTGTCTCAAGTTACCAGAGAGGTTTGCAGGACTCTGGTCATCTATTGCTGAAACTTCAGAGTCATCATGGAGGATGACATTATTCCTCATTGGAATGCTTGTCTCCAGAAGGGGAACTCCTTCCATACAGTCCTCATTACTCAGCACTTGCTGGCCAAGTATATTTCTATCTTCCATGGAAGAGAGCGGCTCCATTACCTGAACTAGAGGAGCCTCATCCATAGGAAGGACGACAGTCTGAGAAGTCATATCCCCACATGGATTAAGCTGAGGTTGCAGCTTACAGCCTCCACTTTCACCTTCATGCATGTGGAGGTTGATGACATAGGAGCAGTTAGGGTCAGGCTCCCGTAGGTGCAGCTGGTGTTTCACAATTCCACCTGGTTCATTTAGCAAGGAATCCACCTGGCTCTCTCTGTTTAGGGACAGAGACTCTTCATCATTATCCAAGCAGATGGCTTCGCTCTCAAACCAGTCTGGGTGCTCAGTTTGCCAATTCTTGAACTTTTGTACTGCCTCTTTCAACTTCCTCCCACTAGGGGTATCAATGTAGTTATCAGCTGTGATTTCCTGGATTCGATGGATGCGCCCAGGTTCAAACTTCTCCAGATCCTGAATCCGAAAATAAATATCCTCAAACTTGTTCATCAGTTGGTACCTGGATGTGACATTGAACAGATCAGGTATATCTTTCTCACTACTTATCCCCTCAAAATAGCAGACGATATACATTCCAAAACAAGCTGGCTTCTTGAAATCTGGGAGGATCAGATTCAAGGCTGGGGTGAACAGGTCTCCCATTGGCTTTTGCTGATCTTGCTTGAGACACACAGGCTCACTCCCAAGCATGGCCTGCCATTTGGCTTGGGTGCCTCGTGAGCATAAGATGATGATCTTCGAAGATAGATCTTCCATTTCCTTCTTCTGTCGAGTAAGCCAGGGTAATGGCCCTAACTCTGAGATCTGATGATCTTCCAGCAGATCTAAGGCTACAGCGGTACCACAGACTGTCATCAGAAACTCAGCAAACTTCAGCACCACATCCACATACAGCAGGTGATCAGCAGAGTACACAATCCAAACCTTTCGGGGCTTCAGTGGTGGCAGAGGAAGGTCAGTATATGGTGCTGCTGAAAGACAAAAACATGTTAATTTCAGCCACATTCCCAAAATTGTAATGGTACAAGTCAGCAGCAACTAACATAGGACAATATTAACAACAGATTATAGGAACTACCAGTTCTGAAGCTATTGTGGCAACATATGCAGGCAACATCTCACTGTGCAAATTTAACATAAAAATCTGGACAGTGAAGCTGTGATTTACAATAATGCCCGAATAGTTCATGGAATTTCACCACACAAAAACAACACACCAGATTCAAGAGGCTTGCAAATGTAGCTATATTCCCTGCTGGAGTGCCGAATGCACCCATCCCAAAACAATCTGATATTGCTATGGCTTAGATGATTAATAGAGTTTCTTTTGCCAGTACAGCATCAACTGCATCAAAGGCCTTACCACTTTACAAAGGAACCATCTCCCATTAGGCAAACATGGCATTCCAAATTCCATATAAAAAGTCTGTTTTAGCTCAACAGGAAGATCCTAAGGCTACTATAGAGTAGTAGAGCCTATGAGAACTCCTTCTGGACAACTGTGAGACTACCAGAATGTATTACATGTGCTTGATTAAACACAGGCAGGATGTCTTACCAGTTTGCAAATTATTGTGGTTGCATTTCCCTCGCCAGTGTCCTGGAAGAGAAAGTCACTGTCAGTTCTGAAAACATGAAATAAGATCATATCCTTAAAAGGACAACACCTTCCAAACAGTCAGTTAAAAAAAAAACATAATCTTTAACTATGCAGGGATAAAACCATGGAGAGAGAGAAGCCTAATAAAAAAGAAAAAAAAAAAAAAAGACTTTTCTACAGCAGATTTTGCTGTATAGTACTTCACTATATTTTTACCAACCAGCAAGTTGCACAGTTCCAATGTGATAACTGCTTCACGGTTGCAGCACAAAAGACTAGGAATTAGTCTTTAAGTACCCAATTTTCCAACCCACTCAATGTCAACCTATGTGCCCTGTCTCCCTTCTTACATTTTAATTGAAAAACATTATTTAAACTCAAAATAGCATAAAAATAAATTTTGTACAGATTTTGAGAGACAGGGGAAAAATTACAGTCTGGACAAATAGAAAGCTTCTGCCCTGCAGAACTCTTACGCAGTACAGGAAAAAAAATAAATGGAAAAGATATCTGTAGCAATCTGCAGGAAACAAAGGACTGAACTATGAAGTTCCTTTTTTGGCTCATAAACTGAAGTCCTATGAAAATAGAGTATCAGCGCATAACCCACAGAAGACTTTGCTTAACTACGTGGATGGTATTAGGATGTTACAAGTCCTGGGATGTAAAACAGAAGAAAGTGTTTACAAGTCGCTACCTCAGTGGCAAGACATCAGAACAGCAAGGAAGAAAATAGGAATAAAAATAGGTACAGAAGTAGAACAAAATAGTTTTAGCATTGATTTTTTTCTTCCTAGCTGGTATGAGTCTTACCTGCTCGTTTTTTGGTCATACACATTACACCTGCTATGACTGATCCCACCAGTAACACACAGATCCCAGTGATACACCAGTAGAGCCATATAATCATATCGCCTGCAGTACAAAAATAGTGCTCAGACATTGCTATAAACAAACAGAGCTTCATGAAAGAACAGAAGTTTCTTGAGCAGCAGGGGCCAAGGGAGAAGGATCCTGGCTCTGCCTAAAACCACAGACAGTCCAGCACTTCCCCCTTACAACACAACACAGTCACTTCTCACACCAAATTTCTGCTTTCATGATGATGCTCTACACCATAAACTTGTCCCACAAAGAACCATATGTGCAGCACACTGAAAACACAGATCAATAACCTTCCTCTAAATAGCAATTTTTACCCAGCTTTGACAGGCATGCCTCCCATGCCCTGCCTGTTCATGTAATCCATCTTTAACCTAAAAAAAAAAGAACAAAAACCAAAAAACCAACAACAAACCCCCCACCATTTTGGATAATGTATTTTTTTTTTTTTTTTCAATCTACAGGTGTTTAAATCTTGGGCAAACTAACTCCTTACAGGTGTTGTTGCAGCCAAAAAAAGATGTCAAATCACTATGCACATGATTTATCTTGATATTCATAAAAATGAATATATGCAAGCTATTATCTCCAAAGCTGTTTTATATTATGCAAATTTTTTTAACACTGAGCAAAGTGACAGAAAGTATTTTATATTAAGCCTCTTCTTGTCAAAACTGGTTCTCAAAGAATTTTGTGCAAGTGAAGTATGCCTAAAAAATTGCTCTTTAAGGTTCACACTGCATACAAATACTTGCCTTGTGAAATCATGGTGAAATAATGAAACTTTTAACACAATTCATTCTGAGCTCAGTGTTACAAGGAGACATTTCCTGCCCATTGGGTCATTCCCAGGGAGGATCATTAGTTATTCTATATGACAGGAAAAGAGCAGCAGCAAAGGAGTTGCAGGGTATTGGAAGAGCTTCTTACCTGATGGGTCTGTACCTGCAAAAGACAAGAGTTACATTAAAAGATCAGCTCTCATCTGTAAGACAATGGGAATCTAATTTACAGGAAAGGAGTTCTCACTTGGAGCTGGTGAACATGGGATGAAAGCAGAGTGTCTCAGGCAGTCTGTGCCACAGTTTGCAAAAAACGGCTGAATCTGCAGTTGAAATAAATTCAGAAAACAGAAGCTATTGTTAAAAGCAATTTTGTACTCCACTTTATCTTTCCCCTACCCCAATATTCCCCATATTTTTGCACAAGGACCCATAATTCACATTTCCCTTCAGCAAACAACATCAATCAAGATTTCTACACTACATTAAGAAGGCAGCAAGCTCCTGAGGTTGAACACTTGCCATTCTCTCTCCACAGTCCATGATTTGGCAACCCTATACTAAGGAAAAACCACTGTCTACAGAGAATACCTATATAAAAAATATTGTCCTCTCAGCCACAATAATTAGCGAATCTCAGAACAAAACACTCTGCAAAACCCCCAGAACATTCCTAAGCTGCTCACTGCATTGCAGGTGAAGGAAAGACACAGGGAAAAGAGTGAGATCCTACCTGTATTTTGTAGTTGCAGCAAGCTCTTATGTTTTTCTCTATTTTGATAGTGACATTCACTTGCTGTTGTAGTCCACCCTGCAGAAATCAGGTGTAAGTTACAGGGGAAGGAAGAAAATTAACTGAAAGCAGGAAAAAAAGAGTCAACATGAGAATATAGAGTGGTCCAAAGCAGCAGAAATTGCTTCTTTGTTTAGGAGAGGAACAAGAAGCCCAGAAAACAGATAAATGGTCAGGTCACCATCACTGCAGGTGTCTGGCATGACAGACCTATTAAGACAGCAGGCTAAAGTTGCATAGGTAATAGGAAACAATTAAGGATCCACACTATATAACTGCAAACATGTTAACTTAAACTTACACTTTCTTAATAACGTAAATGCCTTCAGTTATTTAATGTGTAAGCATTAACAAGCTTCCTCTAATTAAAACTGCTGTCAACACTGCTACTTCTGACACGAGAACAGGCAAATAAGCTGCCCTTGTTACCTGCTGTACACAATCTAAAAATATTCTTTACAATGACTAGCCAATACATACTCCAAAATGACATATATTCCCCTCTACCAGGGAAATATGCACATCAGCTGTGTCAGTGGATGCAATATGAAGGGTTTTAAGTGTGAAAGGAATGGAAAGGTGAAACAAACTGGATGCCAATATATCTGCCCTCCCACAAGGAAAGGTGGGGACTGGTACCAAATAGTCAGCATTTTTCCTCCCTCGGACGCCTGAAGGGGAACATTTCTTATGTCAGAAGATAACTCTGGATCTATTTTGAGCTTCTCAACAACACAGGCTGTAAGATCTAGAGGAATTTATTCTCAGTTTGGCTGAAACATCTGTTATAAACCCACTCATTCTTGATCTAAACAAAAAATAATTCATTACCCTCCCCTGCTGCCATCACATTTGATAAACTACTTAAATGATTTATTGAAATTTTGCACCTCCATTTTGGTTGATTTATTTAGTCTTAACCCACTGGCATTGGCTTGACAAAGGTAACAGAGCCCAGAGAGTCGCCTATCAAATTGCAGGTTTCACTGCAGATGTTTACAGATTGCTTCATGCATTATAAAAATCTCTTTTTTATCTTTTATCCACCAAATTTCTGAAACAGAGTTCCTCTTTCCAAAGGCAATTAAAAATCTGTGAAAGTACTTCCTTGCAAATTGCTGTTCAAGTGCATTTGTTACACCTTCTACATCATGATGCCCTATCCCTGGCAGTGTTCAAGGCCAGGTTGGACAGAGCCTTGGGCAACATGGTCTAGTGTGAGGTGTCCCTGCCCATGGCAGGGGGGTTGGAACTAGATGATCTTAAGGCCCTTTCCAACCCAAACCATTCTATGATTCTATGGCTGCAAGTCTGTGGTTAGCAACCATTAAAGAAACATTCCTCTAAAATACCACACAAGGTATCATTTAGGAAGGTAATTACCTCAGTGAAATCACGTGTGATCATTTTACACTTCTTCTCATCCAGGAAACTGGCCACATGAATTTGGTATCGGGCTGACTCCATCCATGGGTTAAAGCTCACAAGCAGAGTTGTATCATCTAGACTTTTACCTTGGATCCTGGGCTCCCACAAGCTGCCTGGAAATAGTGCAGATATGCCAAAGTTTCTCAATTGTCAGAAATATTTCAATAGAGCACCCATATCTACAGTAAAGAAAATTCTCCATTCTGAGCTGTCTCTCAGCCATCTGATTCTTAGAAAAATAATAGCTGAGTGGTACAGGAATAGGAACAGCTCAACTGGGTGCCTCTGGGGAGGGACAAAGAAAGTCCTGGGTTTTTATACACCTGACCATCACTTATGGTTCACATGCCTCCCGGGCCAATAGTTTTGGTTCTCCTCATCCATCACCGAGTTCATCTGTTGTCGAGGGGGGCCAAAATTTGTTTTTTTTATCTCTCTGGTTGTTGCTCCTTGCTAACAGATGCAATTCCTTTATCTTCTAATTTGCACTGGTCTCAAGGCCTTCATGTACATAACTAAGCACAGGTTGTAAATTAAGTTCAGCTTTACCTAGGTGAGAGTTAGCTGCTTGTGGCCCAAAGCTCCAGAAACTTCAGCTTCTCATGCTAAGCAAAACCACCCAGTCAAAAACAACTCAGTTAAAAGAATTCAAACTAAACAAGCTGAGAGCATTGGGCTTGTTCAACTTGAAGAAAAGGCTCTGGGAAGACCTTATAACCATCTTCCAGTACCTAAAGGGGGCTGCAAGAAATTTGGAGAGGGTTTTTTTACAAGCGTATGTAGTGACAGGAGAAGGGCAAATGACTTTAAGCTGACAGAAGAGAGATTTAGACTAGACATTAGGAAGAAGTTTTTCATTCTGAGGGTGGCGAGACACTGGAACAGGTTGCCCAAAGAAGCTGTGGATGCCCCATCCCTGGCAGAGTTCAAGGCCAGGCTGGACAAGGCTTTGAGCAACCTGGTCTAGTGGAAGGTGTCCCTGCCCATGGCAGGGAGGTTGGAACTGGATGGTCTTTAAGATCCCTTCCAACCCAAACCATTCTGTAAGGCTGTGGAACTTTATTCATTACATCTAGCTCAGAAATTTTTACCTGTGTTTATACATGGGATGGTTCTTTTCATCAGAGAGTCCTTGCAATCTGCAAGAAAGACCACCAGTGACTAGTCAGAAACACTGTATTTCCATTTAGGAAAAAAAAGCCCATTGTCTTATCAGAAGTCAGACATCACCTAACCAAACCCTCCTTGATGGAGACCTTTTGTCAATGCAGGAGCAAAATATTGCTGCAGAATAGTAGTGGTTTCCAATGTGTAAACTAGACTCCCTGTGATGTTATGGTGCCTTCTTTTTTTCCAGAACAAAGATAATTGATAAGACTGAAAACATACAATCTTATAACAGGAATATTTGACAATCCTTGCTAATGTAAGACTTGTGCAGAGAGGGTCATAGTAGAATTAAGACTTCATATTCATCTCTGGGCCTTGTGATCATGCCACAGCAATAGATTCCTCCAAAACACTCTGCCCCAGGAAAACTATGAGGATGGAATTTTTCTTGATCCTAAAATACTTTTCCAAGTTTATAATTCTCTTTGCTTCATTTAGCAGATTGGCTCTGGTGTTTGGGACCTTCATCAGTCCAACACAGAGTTCAATATTTAACATTTAGCAGTGTGGGATTTACAAGTCTCAGCTTAAACTATGTCTCTCCTCCCAGGTCTGGACAAAGGAAAAGGCACAAGTCCCTGCTTAAATAGTTGAAAAAACCCACTGCATATCTTAAATGTCTCACTTTCAATGATGGAATATTTACAGTGCCCCTGTAATTCACCTGTAAGCTCTAATCAGCAAAGCTTCCTGCAACTGCTGAGCTTGACACAATGCATTAGGTTTCTGAAGAACAGTGGAGGATAAAAGCTGGGAAGTTCTCTAAGTGTAAGAAAGGGTAAGAGGGCTGAATCCCAAGTGCTCCCTCTCCTTTTCCAGCTCACATTGACTGACACACCACACACTTTGCCATTTTATAAAATCATGTTGACAACTATAAACAAGTTAAAAAGAAAATTATGGAACAGTTTAAGCTTTGTATTGAATGCCAAACATTCACAAACCGGTTAGTGCAGCCAGAGGGCACTGCAGATGCCCAACATCTTTGGGGAAAACAACAAAAATTCTTTTTAGTTATAGGAAGATTTTCACATACACACAGAACAGTCTTAAGCTCAAGACCTAGAGTAAACTAGACATCTCTTACCAGGCACTGTGAGAGACGTGGACTTGTAATTGTAGTCTCCAACTACCCCCAGTTTGGGGAGGTGGTAGACAGTAACTTGGTAAGTCTGGCCAGGTTCCACTTCAAAACGGTCAAAAGTGAAATTCCACTGAAAACAAAACACATTCACAAGGACTTAAACAAGAAGGTTTTTCTATTAAGACATTGCAAGTAACAGCTAACTTGGCTGACTTGTTCCACTATGTTCCCTCAACCCATGACACTTTTTCTGAAGCTTGACTATTAATAAAATGGAACTCAAGTATATTAACTGTATTAGTGCTTGGTTTGCCCCAAAACCTTCTGTCTGAAATGAGGAATATACAGTTATTTCTTTGGATCTTTGATCTGATCTAACAGTCTTATGGCAAACAACTCTGTGGAGTTTTGACTAAATTACATTCTAAACTGAAAGGAGATTAGGCTAAAATATGCAGCTCAGACTGTTCATACAGGGAGTTGTGGATGCTCAGCATTTTTCTGATGAGTTTCCTAGACTTAGTGTAAGTTGAAGGACCACCTCCAAGATTGGTGCTTTCCTCCATATCAAGAGAGTCCAAGAAAGAAGCGGAAGTAAATGTTGAGTTAAAAAGGCTAGAAGTGGCACAGCTGCCAAACAGAATGCAAAACCTCCTACCATTATTTACTTTAAGCAATATCCAGAACGATGACAAGTGCTAGGCACTGAAAGCAACAATTCTTAAAACCTGAAGAATGGAAAAAGCGGAAGAGACACCAAGTAAGCAGCTCATACACAGTTACACACAAGTGTAAAACAAACTGGAGATGACAGCATGTCTCAAGCCCAATATCTTGATTGTTTTCATCAACTCTAAGAGTCTGTATTTTTTAATTGATAACCTTGCTGTATGAAAGCAGCAACAAATGCGTGGGCTAAAAAAAAGCAGGCTAGAGCCCTTTGCACTCACCCGGCCTCCATCCGGACGGACCTGAAGTGTCAAGTTGTTCTGAAAGTCAAACTGGGCACAGATCTGTCGATTGCTGTTCACTTGCATCACAGCCAGCTCTGCCCCTTGGAGATACTGGATGCTAGCTGCAGGCACAGGGACAGAAAAACATATCTTTGTTTTTCTGTCATCTGCATGTGCAGAGGTTGCAACCCCCACAGGGATTACCACTGTGCCTAGTCTTGTCACAGTCTTACTTCTTTGAAGCACTGGGGGTCCTAACAAAGATAACTGGCCATGAGAAGTGAGCATGCAAGGTTGATTAACAGCACTTTCAGCTAAAAGGTTGTCCTGCATGGCAAGAGCTCCATCTGTGCAAATGAAAGAGCAGAGTAGATGGCAACTTCATTCACTCAGGCACCCTGGCAGTTCCACAAGTTTAGTATTGTATCTAGCTCTGCCTCTTAAGGCTGCTTCATGCAGTTTGGGCACCAAAGCAAACATGCTTTTATTTTGGTACTGACAGCCCCAGTGAGAAAGTTTATAACTATACCTACACAAAATTACTAGGTTACCCCAAGTCACACCTGCCTCTACACTACAATAGCTATACTGAGATAAACAGCTCTCAGACAAGGCCCTGCAGAAGGAAGAAACAAACATTTAATTCTGTCTTGAATCAGTGCAAAGCCATGGACAAGAGCATGGAATGGAAACATCATACACTAAGAAATATTCAAAAACCTCATAGCAGCCTTCCAGTATCTGAAGGGGGCCTATAGGGATGCTGGAGAGGGACTCTTCATTAGAGACTGTAGTGACAGGACAAGGGGTAACGGGTTAAAACTTAAACAGGGGAAGTTTAGGTTGGATATAAGAAGGAAATTCTTTCCTGTTAGGGTGGTGAGGCACTGGAATAGGTTGCCCAGGAAGGTTGTGAATGCTCCATCCCTGGCAGTGTTCAAGGCCAGGTTAGACGAGGCCTTGGGTGATATGATTTAGCCTAAGGTGTCCCTGCCCACAGCACGGGGGTTGGAACTAGATGATCTTAAGGTCCTTTCCAACCCTAACGATTCTATGATTCTATATCTGGAGAGTGAGAAAACCTGTTTTATTGTTACTCATTTAGGCTCTAGCAATGAGGTAATTATTCCTTTATCAAGACATGTATGTATAGGAAACCTAAGTTACAAGGATCAGATTAGCTGAAATGGGAGGAACTTGCACTAGGTTAACAGTACATAATTTATTTGCACACTCTCATATTAATTCTCATTTGTTCAGTCTGAAGATGTAATTCCCCTGCTGCATTCATCACTATGCCTTGAAAAGGCAATGCTTGCAGTGCAAACCTCCATTCTTCCCTCAGTGCTGTGGTAATGTTGTGGGCCACCTGATTCCACTTTTATCTGCTTTTCCCATTTTAAATGTCATTACCCCATACTAGTGGGAGCATTCCGAACTCTTGAATACCCAGCATGCCTAAAGCCCCAATTCAGTCATCAAGAAAAATCAAAACAGCATCTCCCAAAGCAAACAAAATGAAGCAGCCAAACTCCCAAATTCAGAGGTCTGCTTTCATAACTAGATCAGTAAGAGACTTCAAGCCATAGTTGTTCTCCCTATCCTTACTAGATCACAACTAAATCCTCTGCTCCATATTCACATTAAACCACCATTTACCATCAGTGGCCACCTTCCATTCTATCCGAAGCACAGGCAGCAGTTTTCCATCCATCTGACGGAAAATGTCAGAAGAGACATGAAGACTGCTTGGAGCAGAAGGAGTCCATGTGCGAACCTGCAGCCAGCTCACCTCCATGCAGGTACCTGTCCAGAAATAAAAAACACCTTTTAGAATGGGGCTGAGGAAGCTCTGCTTAGTTGCAATTATGGTCTGCCCTTTGGGTCAGGGTTACTCAGAGAGCAAAACTGAGTGACAGACTGCTTCACAGTTAAGGCAGTTTTCAGCACATAAGTAGTTTCTAAATTGCCTGTAATATTCTAAACTCATTCCAGTTAGTTACACTTCCTCTTTTCCTTAAAATCTATTAGCAATTATCACAGTCAACATAGTCAGGCTAAACAGGTCAAGTAAGTTTACTCAGTATCTCTTGCAGCAAGCCATACCTTGCTGTTGAAACAGACCTATGTTAGAGGACTAGTACTAATTTTCAGCCTTCCAATGGTAAGAAGTCTGTCAGATACCCAGGGAAATTGTTCCAATAGTTACTTTGTTTTAAAAAAAAATAAAAAAAAATCACTTCTAATTTGAATATACATCTGAGTTCAGGTTCCCACAACTGCTTGTTATGCCTCTTCTAAATGATTTACTTAGACCTTTGTAAGACATTTGACTTATCAGAGCATACTAAAACCAGAATGGTCAGTCCGCTCTGTCCAAATACACTTTTAGTCTTTTTTTTGCTGGGTCAGTGATGGGAACAGTGGAAAATGGGCACTATTCCTTCTTGTAACAGCATGGTTTTAGGTTTAAAAAGTAAACAGACAATCCTCAAATGCTCATTTACCAGAAAACAGCTATAGAAAATCTGGCAAGATTAAAGTACTCTTCAGAAAAGAGTGTACTATGCACTAAAAAAAAAAAACACCTTTCCCCTACAGCAGAAAAATAATAATTAGGCAGAATTTAAATCAAATATTCAAATAAGGTGGCATTTTAATGATGGAGCTGTAGTTTGGCTTAGCTGTGTTTTCACAGCAATGGCAACCTTCCAGTTTGAAATATGATCCAATCTAATCCTACCCAATCACTCTCCTGCCAAAAAAGTTTAAAATCTGGTTATTTTCAGCATAGTCATCTCCCTGATCTGGCAAGCATGACTACAAAAACACTTGTACCAGTACAATACAGGGCTGGGCATTGAGGCAGACATGAGCCTGCTTATAACAACGACTGCAAAGGAAGACCAAGATGTTCTGCAGCAAGATCCAGACACCTATATGTACCAAATGGACATATGGAGAACATTACCCATAATTATACTAAAGTGTTTCCTGTGCATGTAATTGCTAAGACTTGACCCCGTACACCTGATGCATCCAATATATTTCCTCAGAGGGACGTAAAGTAACTCTAGAGTCCTTTTCCAATTCATAGGATCATTTAGGTTAGAAAAGTCCTTAAAGATTAAGTTAATTCAATAGACTATATGCCCAGTACTTTATATTAATTGCTTTCAGCTTCATATCTCTCTTTTACTTCTAGTTCATATGTTAATTTTTCAACAAGTCCTATCATAGATACAATAGCCTGTAATGAACGTTACTGACAAACTTGTCCTAAAATTCACATTTCTTTAAAAATTTACCAGCTTTAAATAGAAACTTAACCAGTTGGGTTGTGCTCCACCCACCCCACAAGTCTATCTTAAGATAAGACTTAAATTCCCATTCCTCTTTTAGCTAGAGCTGACTGCAGATCAAACCGAAAACTTCCAAAGCAAAGCATGATAGCAGTGCTTCACTTCCTATCTCTCCAGTTCTAGATGGAAGAACTTGCTGTATGATTAACGAGAAAACCACAATGAAGGAAAATATTACTTACTGTTTCGTACAAGGCAGTTTAAATCCTGTGGGGGAAAGAAACAAGAATATTATTCTCAGAATAGAAACTGGATTGACAGCAATTTGCTTCTGCTTGGTAGCAGGAAGAAAACAATTCAGTGAACAACAACGCATACAAACTGGAAGAATCAACCACCAGCAAGCATTGCACAAAGTTGTTAATCAGAAAACCAAAGGACACGGGGTTATCAAGCCTGTGCACACCTGAACTGCATATGTGACAGTAATAATTGCAATAATGGAAAGACACTGAGGAGAAGCAAAAATGCAGGACTGTGAAAACACAAACCAGTGTGACATGAAAGATAGCCTGAAGTGTTTATACACCTTTGCTTTAAGTTACTGCTACCCAGCAGCGATCATGCTGGCAATGTCTGCAAGGTCTAAGCCCATCTGACCGGAAGCACAAGCTCTGTGCAGCTAGGTTTGACACTGAAGTACTGGGTTTCACACTGCCTGCTGCAGAGCATCCCTGAACAGAAAGGCTGCAACAGTTATGGCTAACGACTGGTCTTTTTCCTGATGCCACATAAGAAGCAGAGAAAAGACAACACTAGGTAAAAGCCAGGCTTGAAGGTAGGATATGGTGATTTCATTTTCTAGCAAATAAACTGTTCCTCCCCCCCCAAGTCCTAATGAAGGAAAAACATCACATCAATTAATAACAAATTTGAGAAGCAATCCATGAGGGGAAAAATAATTAAATCAGTGTTAAACTTTCTCAGAACAAAGATGCCTTGAACATGAAGCAATAAGAAGTTACGTGGGCTCTGCCTGGTTTCCCCAGGTATATTTCATTTATAGAGGAAGACCCCACAGTCATCAGAAAAAAGCATGTAAGTTTGCTTGGTTAATATGATACAAAAGCACTGAAGTTTTCACTGACTTTGTAAATTAAGAGAACGGGCAGGTTTTCTCCCACTCATTTCCTATGCCTTGACATAGAAAGATGGATACTGTCACACTGTTGCCACAAAAGAATTCATTCCAGTGGAGGAGGCAAGGCAGCAGGCCTTTTAAACTCTCTGCAACTTAAGGTCAACTCCAAGCATATCTGGGGCTTATTAATGGTGTAGCTGTGGCTATGCAAGTTTGTATTTACATTTTCAGGGATGGGTGCTAGAAAAAGCCAACTGTACCTTTCCGGTAGTGAACATGGCCTGCAGCGTGGCACAGAAAGCTGAGCATAGTATTAGACAGCATCACTGTTACAGGCACAGCGTAAACTTCCCTTCACTGACACCCCAGCACTGCAGCCTGCCCTGTGCTGGCACAAGCATGTCTGTGACCACACCAGGAACCTGGCTACAGCCTGAAATTGACTCAAGGAGGGGAAGGAGGGTCAGCTGTGAACCAGAGCTCCTCCCTTTCTGCACCTCTGCTCCTTTTTATATGGGAGAGGCTGGGATGTACCACCAGGCCTGAGGAGGAAAGTGGGCACTGCTCTTTCACAGCTGAGCAGCTGAGCTGGCTTTTGTCTGCTTGTAGCAGGGCAGAACTGCATCCTACCTTTAAAGAAGTCCTAGTGAAGGCAAAACACCTCATCAATCAATAAGCTTTCTATTATTTGAAAGAAATACAAAGTATAAGCAATCAGTGAAGTCTGGTGTCATACAAGTTGTCCCAAGCAACTGATTTCACATGTGAGCAGAGTTCTATTGGCTATGAAAAAAATGCCTTGGACATTAATGCTCATATTTCAGCTAATGCACCCACGTTCCTATAAGCCTTGAGCAAAAGCAGGCAGATTTGGCATTAAGCTCTGTTGCCTTCGCAAGGCGTGGCAACCTGGTTCAGGAACGGCACGGCAACCAACCCCAGGCCGCTCGGGCCATCAGCTCACAGACACCAGTGTGGTGGATGGCAAATGGCGTTTATTAGTGCGCAACACAGCATTATATATTCTGGGTTTACATCATCACTTCCGTCTGCTTACATCACAAGCTACATACTATTGGCTATCAAACAGGGGGCCCTATCTTTCCGTACAGCGCGATATCTTCCGGCCGCCAGGCCCTATCTACCCACATTTTCCCCCCTCCCTATGCTTAATAAAACTAAGTAGGTATAACAATGTTATATGCTTTATGTTTTCACACAACATTTAGAACAGTTTTTGCTAACACAATATATGCTTGAAATTGGAATGCAGAGCACATCAGACAAGGTGCGTTAAACAAGTGATAACTAGGGTATAACAGAGAATAACAGGGTACAACTGGGGATAAACAAGAATTCTGAACAAGAGCGCTCCTAAAGCAACTGCTGGCGTTCCATTAGCATGATGTTAACCTTTCCCAAACGGCTTTTGACAAATGACACCAGCTTATTCAGTATACAGGGTCCAAAAATTAATGCTATCACGATTGTTATAATTGGCCCTATCAGGGTAGATAGTAGAGTGGTAAGCCACGGTGAATGGGTGAACCAGGATGATAGCCAATTCTGTTGCGCCTCCTGTTCCCTTTTTCATTTTTCTAGTCCTTCCCGTAGTTTGGCCATGGTGTCTCTTACTATGCCAACGTGGTCGGCATACAGACAACATTCTTCCTTCAGAGCTCTGCATACCCCCCCTTGTTGTAAGAACATTAGGTCTAACCCTCTTCGATTCTGTAGCACGACCTCAGATAACGATCTAAGCGAACTTTCTAATGCACTGATGGATTGTTCTACTCTAGCTAGGTCTTCATCCACTGCCATTCTTAGGGCGCTAAATTCTTTGTTCTGGTGCACTAAGGATGCTACTCCTGTACCTACTCCTGCACCTCCCATGATCAGGAGAGCAGCTATTGTAAATGCTGTAAGGGGTTCTTGTTTCGACTGGTGGTGTTCCAGAGTGATTTGCGACTCATAGAAAAATTGTTCAGAATGGTAGAAGATTTTAGGAACTATAGTTACTTGGACACAATATTCTGAGGATTCATCAAAATTGTCTAACGACAGACAGGGTGTAACTCCCATAACAGAGCAAACCCATTTGGCATTACTGGCTGGTACTAGCCACTGTGCAGGGGTTTTTATCTGTAGCGCATTAGCACATAGTTGTCTGTTATGTTTAGGGACTTTACCTATACATATACCACTTCACGTCACGTGTGCTAATGTAATCCCTTGTTTTTCTGTGTCCCAAGTACACTGGGCAGGATTTGTACCGTTTACTCGTAAGGGTGTGTCGCTTATTCCAATAGCTTCATAATAGGGTGGTGTTATGCCGTAGCATAGCCAACAATGCTCCGTGAGCTCTGGGTTAGTCTTGTTCAGCAGTTGGTAAGTAGCTTGCATCATTTTCCAAAGAGGATTTCGGTCAAAAAGATTAAGTGTGCCTGCAGTGGCTGCGGTAAAGCTATATGGTGGGGGTGTTGTTAGACTAGGTTTCGACGGGACTGGGAGTTTTGGGCGAAGAATCGAATTAGGTCCTACGGGCTTGGGATTTTGCGGGATTGGCTCCTTTCTTATTAAAATGTGGCCCCCTCTATCTTTACCTGGTAAGTGGTATCGTACTCCCCAAGATTTTCCTGATATCCACCCACGGTCAAAAGGGTCCGTTACATTAATTATAAGATACAAACAGGCTCCTTTAAGGAAGGAACATCCAAGGGGTCCCTGCTGTACTGTCAAAAACCCTGTCTGGAGTTGGAGGGTCCCAAGCTGAAGCTATTGTTTCGCATCCCCAGTAGGCGCAAAAGTATTCCCCGGGGTAATCACAATATCTTTTCCCTGGGTTCGAACTTGGGCAGAAATAGTAGTTATTAAGATTGGGACGATAGTAGTTATTATTAGGATTTCCGCACGAGCCAATAGGTACTAGCTGACAGAGGGTAACAGTGAATATGGGGCCTCCCACTGTAATTACACTTTGGACTATTTGCTGGTCTTCCCACCTAGACAGGGCCCACTTAAAAGGCTGATGGGGGTGGGGTTTTGATACTGCTTGTCCCATGGCGACGAGTTGTAAGATGAGGAGCACACAAAGATGTCGCCATCCCTGTTTGTGGGGGTTCTGTCGCCGATGCCCGGATTCCATCCGCGCAGGACTATCGGGTATGGGCAGGATGCCTGCGGATTTGTCATCTTCTCTCGGTATCAACGCGTATGAGTTGCGAGGACGTCCGATGATTCGATCCTGTGGAGAGAAACTCAAAGTTTTGTTAGTTTTGTTTCTGAAGGTCTGGTTTGATGTGGGCACCTTTCTGGAGGTCTGGTTTTAAGTGGGCACCACTTGACGATTCCATCTTTTTGACCGCGGCATACCCTCTCCCAGTAAGAACTAGTTTCCACCCTTGTTCCCACTCTCCTAGCTCATTTCTGACTATGATTAACGGGCCTTCATCCATCGCTCGAGTGGCCCAATGTTTTTGAGTGGGGCTATTTACCTCTTCCCCCCTGGGAAACTGATTTAGTGCTAACAGGGCAGTTGCTAGCAAGCGCGCTTGATCTCCTGGGGGAATGGCGCTGGAAAAGCCTTCTGTTTTTGCCAGCATCTCTATTTTAGATTTCAAAGTTTGATTCGCTCGTTTGACTATGGCTTGTCCTGTGCTATTATATGGAATACCGTGTATTAGGGTAATACCCCATTTTTGTGCGAATGCCCGGACTGTCGCAGAGACAAAGTTCGGACCGTTGTCCGTTTTGATTTGCTTGGGAATACCAAGCCATGCCATAACCGTTAACCAATGTTGCATTGTTGCTTTGGAGTTGGTTCTGAGATGTTGTGAGGCCACAATCACTCCGCTGTATGTGTCTACCGTTACCGCTAGCCATGCTCAGGGTTTTAATAATTGACAAAGGGTAAAATCTGTCTGCCACACTTCGGAGGCTTTAAGACCTCTGGGATTGATTCCGCTGGACCATAGCGGTAATTTCTGACAGTGGGGACATGTGGCTACTACGTGTTTTGCATCAGTGATCGAGATTTCACATTTCTTCGCCAGCGCTTTAGCTCTGATGTGGAGAGACTTGTGCAGCTGACGAGCATCTTTTAACGTCCACAATCCTTTCGCTGCAG